GGCCTTCCAGGCCGCACCGGACCTCCGACGGCCAAAGACCAAGTCCAAGCCGAGATCTTCCAAGCCGGAACAGGACCAGAACTGGACCCTCCAGGGCCAGAAGCCTGGGAGCGAGGCCGGGGGAAAGCCAAGGCCCAGGCCTCTACTGCCAGGCTGTCCGGATCCTCCCAGCTACTGCCGGATGCACCAGGCCCAGATCAAATACGGGCCGGAGACGGGCCGAAAACAGGCCGAAGACGAGCCGAAAACCGCCGCCCGGCCGCCCGGCCGCCCGAGTCCAGGCCACACCGGAGCCGCCGACGGCCAAAGACCAGGTCCAGGCCGAGATCTTCCGAGATCTTCTGAGTCAAAACGGGGCCAGAGCTGGACCCTCCAGGCCGAGAGCTAGGAGTTCTAGTCCTGCTTTAGGCACAAACTCAGTTGAGTAACTTTAAGCCAGTTATTCCCTCTCAGCAGAGGGAGGTGGAGGGAGGAAGGAAGAGAAGGAGGTGGCAGGGAAGGTAAATTCCCTCTGTGAAAGCAGCAAGGATGTGGCCAGGCAGCCAGGAGTCAAGACTAACTCTAAGTCTTCCCCAAAAGGAGTTAAGCGGTATGTGAAACACATTAGCTCCCCCTGTTGCTGTTGCTGCTGCTGTTGCAACCAAAAGGCATGTTCTGTCCCCCCCCCCATTTCACACACACACACACACACACATACACAATTCTGCAAGGCTCCATCTTTTGTCAGAAACGTCCGGCCTCAGTGCTTCACAAAATAGCCAGTAGGCCGGTACGTTAGACTAATAGCAGTTTAATGCACTCTATTCAAAATAAAGTCAGCACTGGGAGACGCTGGCTCCCAGTGCCTTACATAGGCTCCACAACGGCCCCACCCGCATTACCATTCCAACCCCACCCCCCTCTTAACCGCGCCCTTAGCAACCCCACCCCTCAAGCCAGCATGCAGCCCCACCCCTCAAGCCAGCATCCGCGCTCACTGCACCTTCCACCTTTGCCGCCCTACCCCATGTCCAGAATGCTCCATAGCCTCTTGTGCTGCTTCCAGGAGCTGTTTGGAGCAGTCGAGGCCTCATCCGGCTGCTCCCCCAGCTTCTTCCTTGCTGGGCCTGCCTCACACAGTCGCCCGACGGCCTCCTTGGCCTCCTCGTATGTCGGCCCTGCGAGGCGCCGGCAAATGACGTCAGAGGGAGGCGCAGGCAAATGGCGATGGCGGTGATGGCGGCAGCTCCTGAGGGGCCGACGACGCTGCGGCTTGCTTCCGAGCGCCGGCCTGGAAGCCTGGAGGCCGACGATGCTGCGGCTTGCTTCCGAGCACTGGCCTGGAAGCCTGGAGGCCAGGGTAAGGTGGGAGGGGTGAAGGGCGGTCTGTCCGCCCGGCCGGACAGCCGCGCAGGGCTCGACATCTTTCCCTTTTTTAAACCTCCTGCTGCTAGCCAAGCTTTGCTGCAGGGGCCTCTCCCGCCCTGCTGACTCAGCAGCTGCGCTTTCTGGATGCACTGGAGGCTGAGGGCAGGAAGGGGGGCCCTGGGGTGGCACAGACCTTTCCACCCACCTCCTGGTAGGGAGAGTTCGGGAAATGCAGAGCTGCACCACAATAACCCCGGTCCAAGCAAGAATGTGTGTGCCCAGAGTGTGTGATCGTGATCCCGGAAGTTAGATCTGGTGAATTACACATACATACACACAAGCACACCAGCAGGTGACCCTTCCCTGGTCTGCTTCCATTCGTCTGATCAGAGGAAGATCTGGCTGTGTAACTTCAAGCTTGGAGCCTCCTTGCTCCTGGTCTTCTTCTTTGCTTTGTGCCTTCTAGATGGCAAGTGAAAAGACAACGTTGTGTTCTTGATTACCAAAAACAGCCAT